CCAGAAACGCATGCATCTGGGCTCAGATGGACACTTACATGTGATGGCATATGCTTTTCTAGCATTTTGAGTGTTTACAAACACAGAAGCAACCAGCATTTGGATCATAACTCAAGACTTTGGTTTCAAGTTAAACCTAAAATTCCACTCATTACCCAAGTTATTCACATGTGAGGCTGGCCAAAACTCCAGGGTCCCTATATGGCCATTTTCATTATATAGGTTCTTCCTACCCAAACAGAGAGATATCTTTCAATATTCTGATATCCTCTTCCATTGCCTTTTTCAGAATACTGCAGATTTCATTATAGAGATATTTTACTTTCTTCTTTAGATTGATTCCTAGATATTTCATTTTTTTGGATGCTATTATGAAAGGTGTTGTTTCCCTAATATTTCTCTCAATGAGTTTGTATTCATGTTCAGAAAGGCTATTGATTTTTGAGTGTTGACTTTATCCAGTTGTGCTCCTGAATTTGCTTATTAAATCTAGAAGTCTTTGGGTGGCATTGTTGGGGTCTCTTATGTAGAGGATCACGTTATCTGAAAATAATGATAATTTAACTTCTTCCTTTCCGATCCTTATTCTTTTATTTCTTTCTCTTGTCTAATTGCTCTGGCTATGTTTCCAGAACTATATTGAATAAGAATGGTGAAAGTGGACATCCTTGTCTTATTCCTGATTTTGGAATGAAAGCTTTCAGTTTTTGTCTTTTTAGTATGATGTTTGCTATTGGTTTATCATAGATGGCTTTGATAATATTAAAATAAAGATCATCTATTCTAATTTCTTGTAGGGTATTTATCATGAATTGGTGTTGGACTTTGTCAAATGCTGTTTCTGCCTCTAATAAGATGATCAACTGGTTTCTTTCCTTTGATCTGTTAATATGGTTCATTACACTTATTGATGTGTGCATGTTGAGCCATCCCTGCATCCATGAGATGAATCCTACTTGGTCATGGTGTATAATCTTCTTGATGATTTGCTGCATTCTGTTTGCCAGTGTTATTGAGGAGTTTTGCATCTATTTCCATTAGGGAGATGGGCCTCTACCTCTCTTTTTTGGTTGGGTCCCTATCCAGTGTTGTTATCAGAGTAATGCTTGCTTCCACTAATGAATCTGGGAGTCTTGCTTCCCTTTCAATTTCATTAAAGAGTTTCAGTGTTAGGGGCATCGGTGCTTCTCTAAATTTCTTGTATAATTCAGCATTGAATCTGTCAGTGCCTTGACTTTTCTTTGTTGGTAGGTTTTTAATTACATCTTCAATTTCATTAACTGATATTGGTTAATTTAGAATTTTTATATCTTCTTGACCCAGGGTTAGTAATTCATATGTATCCAGGAATTTGTCCATCTCTTCTGTGTTTTCCATCTTACCAGAATACAGATTCTCAAAGTAGGTATTGATGGTCTTGTGGATTTCTGCAAGATCTGTTGTGAGTTTCTCCTTTTAATTCCTAATTGTATAGGTTTGAGTCTTTTCTTTCCTGTCTGGGGAAGTTTTCTGCCATTACTTCTGTGAACAGATATTTTATGTCACTTGTGCCATCTCCTGTTTTTCCACTGACTCTGATCTATCTTAGGTTATTCTTATTTGCAACATCTAGCATCTGCTGGATTGATATCTCATGGTCCTTGCTCTTTTTAAGAAATATTTCTTTTCATAATCACAAATCACAATATTGTCTTCTGTACCTGATATTCTGCCCTCACATTGACTTATTCCGCTATGTATATTTTTAATGAAATTTTTAATCTCCTGGATATCCATTTGTATCTTTTTGATGGATTCCATTTCTTTCTTTCTTAGTTACTTTTCTCTCATTGCTGGTACAAAATACCCAGTGCACAAAATTAGGGAAGGAAAGGTTTATTTAGTTCACAGTTTGTAGAGGTTTCATAATCACCTGAGTCCATAATCACTTGACTCTAAGGAAAGTTGGCATAGCAGTGGGGCAACAGTTCAAGGCAGTAGACAACAGCAAAAGCAACAAGAGCAAAAAGGGAAAAGAGCAAACTCTTTTCCTCCCTTATATTGTATTCAGGCCACCCACCCTGGGGCAGGTGAAATACTTTACTCCAAACTCTCCTTGTCTTGAGGGTTTTTGTTGTATGAACTTTAGGAGGTCTCAGTCTTGGTTTACCAGGAAGAACAACTGATTAGAACAATTATGTCACCTTGGCTAAAGTGACACAATCAGCCATGATAATAACATCAAACACAGCCTAGAAATTGACAGATTGTGGTAACTATTAATTTACCACCTTAAACAATATGAACTAGATTTGTGGTTATATAACCAAATGTGAGACTGCTCATCCTTATCTCTCCAGGGTGAACCGGTCCTGAGAATGAGGTGCCTGTGGATGAATGAGGAAAAGTAGGGAGACAAGAAAACCAAGAGAGGCAAAAGTCTGGGATCAGGGGCTGACAGCCTCTCAACTGCAGCCCCTAGGACTGCTGCCACTAGGACTGTTCCCGCCTACAAATTTCAGTCACCTTTTATTGATCGAGAACCTAGGGCGTAGCTAGTACTAATGGGTGGAT